ACATCTAACAATTGGCATTAAGAGTTGGTCTTTTGATTGTGTCTAATCGACATCTGAAAGTTGTGAATATGGCGGAAGATGATGATCCTAAAGGAGCGTATAATAGAGCACATATTTTTAAATGCGAAAATTATACTATTGAAAATAAAAAATGTATGTACATTTTTTATCGATTGACAAAAATCGGTGATATGCCTTCAATGAGGGTGTAACACCCCAGGATTTGATTAACTTATTCAATCGAATTATTCGTATTTTATTTAATTATTTGTTTTTTGGTGTGCTTTTAATTAAATATGTAGATTGAGTTGTATATGTTGTGGGACATTAGTGGAGTGTAGTGAGAGTGTTGGTATGGTGGTAGAAGAAATAGAATAATTTAAATGATTAGAATTATAATTATTTTATTTAATTGATTAAAATAACTTAGAAAACGAGGCTTTTGGGTAGAAAGCAGGAAATTAAAGAATATGAGGGAAGTGGTGAAATTTATGACATAAGTTGGGCCTTATTGTAATTTTGGAGAGATTAAGAATTAGGTTAGAGATAAATAGTGGTTAGTAGAGTTTTTAGGGGAAAATAGTACATGAAAACAAAATTTGGAAAAAAGAGACAAGGGCAAGGCTAGGGCTTGAAGAAGGAAAAACAACCTTGAGCAATTATGAATTTTAACAAGGAATATAAGGTAAGGGAAAAAAAACTTTCTCTATCGGTGTATAACATGAAGAGGTAGAGAAGAGAGATCCTGACTCTCTTTGAGAATTTTGTGATTTGATTGTGAATTGTTGTTGATGTGTGTAATTATGGAATTGGATGATTAAAGGTGTATGCATCTAATTATCGTGATTGAGTTTATGTATATATGGTTTTCTTTATGTGTGCATGCTGGTGTGCCATTGTTAGAGTTATTGAAAGTATGAACATAAACATGAATTGATGAAATTGAATGAATAATTTGTATGATTTTATGAAATTACATGTTATAAAGATGTTATAACATGTGATATACTTTCCTGGGGGTGTTTTGGGTGATTGGTTTTGGAAATTTGGAGTTCTGGGGGACTTCTATGGCAAAACACATATTTTTGCCTTCTGGTGCAGAGTGACGGATGTCACCTAGATGACGAGTTAACTGTGTGCACCTGTTGGGTTTGGGCTCCTTTCCTATGTTGAGAAAGGCCCAAATATAATTAGCCTATTTGTCTCACTTATATAAGTAGAGAGAATCAATTTAGGATTGAGACTTAGAGAGAAAATAAGTATTCAAAAGAGAGAAAAGTGGAGAGAAACTCATTCCCGTTTTTCTGCAATCAGTCTCACTAAATTTATGATCCCCGATTTATTAACCGCCAGATCAAGATCAAATTTGGAAGGAAGGTTAATAACACATGTATCTAACTTTCGACCGTTCAAAATTTCAAAACAACGTTTGAAGTGAGAGTTATATGTTTCGCACTAAGGCTACATATTTTGGAAAATTTTCAACTTTTTGTTTCTTATTTGTAAGCTAGTTTGCTTTGTGATTTGAGGTTGTTATCACTAGTTTGTGAATCACTTTAGGACTCCCTTGTACCCTTAATAGATTATAGTGGAGTTATTTCTTTGTTCTGGATGACTCGTGGTTTTTACTCTCATATTGAGGGGTTTTTCATGATAAGAATATCGATGTTCTTTTGTGTCTTTATTTTTTTCGCTTTGTTGTTGATCCTCAAGGTTCCTACAAGTCTGAAAATTTTTATATGCGTTGTGTATTGGTCTATCATTATTTCTTAATTTTCCATCAGAGTGGCATCAGAGCTTTTGGTTAAGAGTTATTTTACTTGTTTGAATGATGGAGTCAAATACAAAGATGAATATGATGTTGTTGAATGGTTCTAATTACTATTTATGGAAGGGCAATATGAAAGACTTACTATTTGTGAAGAAATTAAATTTACTAGTTTTTAGTTCCGCAAAGTCGGATTTAGTGTCTGATGAATAATGAGAGCTTGAACATCAATAGGTTTATGGTTTTATTTGATAATATGTAAAATATAATGTTTATAATCATATTGCTAATGAGACACATGTAAAAACATTGTGGGAGAAGACAAAGTCCTTATATGCCTCTAAATCAAGGAATAATAAACTGTTCTTGTTGAATAGCATCATAGGTTTGAAGTATAAGGTGGATACTTCTATTTCAGATCACTTGAGTGAATTTCAAGGGCTCCTTGATCAGATGTCAGGAATGAGTATCAAATTTGATGATAAACTTTTGAGACTATTTCTATTGTTATCTTTACCAGAGTCTTAGGAGAAGTTTCGGGTTTCTATCACAAGTTCTGCTCATAAAGGTGTTGTTTCTTTGGAAACGGTTAAGGGTGGTATTCTTAATGAGGAGATGAGAAGGAAGGCACAAGGCTCTTCATCTTAACTCGATGTACTTGTCATTGAAAATAGGAGAGAAGTCATAAAAAGAAACCAAATGGTGGTATAGAGAAGAGTAGAAGCAAGACCAATATGCGATACAAGATTCTAGAGTGTCATTATTGTCACAAAATAAGACACATACAAAGTATTATTATTAGTGGAAAAGAGATAACAAAGGTAAGAAGGATAAGTCTAAACAAATAGACCACGAAGATCACGATGATGAGCATGTTACTACTGCTACCAGTGATGATCTTATTATTCTCCATGATCATGACTCTATTAATCTTGTATCAGACGAGAGCATGTGAATAGTTGACAGTAGTGCTACATTGCATGTTACACCAAGGAAATATTTCTTCACATCCTATACTTCTGGTGATTTTGAAGTGTTGAGGATGAGTATTGATGGTGTATTTAAGGTAATTGGTGTTGTTGATGTTTGCTTGCAAACCAACATGGGAGTGAAGTTGTTGCTTAGAGGTGTCAAAATGCTCCAAATGTCCGTTTTAATTTGATCCATGTGCATATGCTAGATGATTGTGGTTATGATAATCACTCTGGTTCTGGAAAGTGGAAAGTCAACAAGGGTAACTTGGTTGTGGCTAGAGGGCAAAAGCTTTCTAAATTGTATTAGACAAAAGCCTTAGCTGCTAGGGACAGTGTGAATGTTATTGACATGGAAGCATCTTTGGGGAATTGATGACTTGGTCGTATTAGTGAAAAAAGGCTGAATATTTTGGCCAAAAAAGATGTTCTTCCTAGATTAAAGAATTTATATTTGGAGAAATATTATCATTGCATTGATTGGTAAATAGACTAGAGCATATTTCAAGAGACATCCTCCCTTAAGGAAAATAAAGTTGATTCAATTGGTACATTCTGTTTGTGGTTCATTGAAGGTAAAATCCTTCAATAGTGCACTTTATTTTGTTACCTTTATTTATGGTTGCTCCAAGAAAATATGGGTTTATGCCTTGAAGAAAAAAGACTAAGTGTTGAAAATTTCAAAGAATTACGTGCTTCGGTTGAAAGGCAGACAAGCGAGAAGCTAAAATGTGTTTGATCAGACAATGGTGGAGAGTATTACCGACCATTTGATTCTTATGGGATGGTGAAATGTTTCTATTATGGGGAAACATTTAATACACACGTTCCTCATTCCTTAGAAATGTGGAGGTTGAGCACTTTATAAGTAAGAGGACCCATACACTTATCACCTTAAGATTTTAGGTGAGTATGTGGTGTCTCTCTCACTTGTTTGGGTGAACCTTTGACCTTTAGATAAGTGTTTGACCCAATGTGAATACTCCCCTTCATAATGACTCATTAGTAGTATTAGAGTCATGGTTCGAGTAAGAGACCGACTCCTTGTATCAAAAATCTTTCTAACATGGTGGTCAGACAACGTGTTCTGTTAAAGTGCCCATGACGAGATAAAGGTGTCTCTCAATGGTAGTACAAGCATATGGGTGAAAGAGCTTCTGCTTGAGGGGGAACATAGTGGATGAACTAACACTTGAGGAGGAGATTATTGAGAAACAAATGTAAGTTGTATTGAGAAACAAGTATGAGTTCTAAGTCCCACGTTTCTTTAAAAAGTGAAGGTTAAACACTTTATAAGTAAGAGGACCCATATATCTATCACCGTAAGGTTTTGGGTGAATATGTGGCGTCTCTCTTACTTGTTTAGGTGAGTCTTTGACCTTTGGGTGAGTGTTTAACCTAATGTGAATGCTTCTCTCTCATGATGACTCATCACAAACATCATTCTTGGAGGTCATCCACGTCTTCTAAGACTTCCTTATCTAGTACTATTCGACAAGTTTTAGGGGAAACTGTTCTGGATCGACTAAAGTCCCAAAAGATCAAGGCCCAATCCACTCCAAATGACCTAACATATAAAAGCTTGTACGTTCGATATTCAAGGTACAATTTATGATTTCCACTTTTTACTATAATAATGTTGAATTCTAAACTGACTTAGGCGTTAGAGTATTAATTTTGTAGGTCCACCTCGCGCCGTTGTATCCAAAATCAACACCATCAATTTAGGATTCATCACCATTAACACATATTTCAAGAACTTCTTTTCTTCTTTTAAGAGATTTCAGCATTAGTTTTCAAATAAAAGTCCTAGTTTTTTTTTTACATTAATAAAATTCAACTTTGAATAAGATTTGGTATTTTATAGCACTAGACTGGATATCTAGTTAGTCGTATATATTATGAGACAAATCATGTGTATTTGATATAACCAAAATTATGTGTATTTATGATTTATACCCAATTTACATTAGACATTTGCTAGAAGCCGATATGTACGGAATTTCAATTTTCTGATTAATTCCAATGTAGTTTTTTTTTTTTTTGGGTTATAAGCTATTTGTAAAAAAAAGTTGCAAATTAAAATTTTTTAAAGAACGAAAAACCCGAAGCCAAAATATTGAACCAAATTATTATTTAAGTTTTTCCTTTATAAAAACCTGATCCGTTTCCCGCCATTTCCCGCGCAACTTAGAGGATCAAAACCTTAATCTTAAAAAATCCCAATTTTAACTCACAGACTAAGACGATACCAGAGAGAAATGGCAGGAACAGCAACAGGGTGTTACAAGTGCGGCAAACCAGGTCACTGGTCACGCGACTGCCCTTTCTCCGCTCCCAGTTCAAATCCAAACCCTAACCCTAACTCCAACACCGCCGATCTCCCTCCTTCTTCTTCCTCCAACCCTTCCGGCCCTAGATCCGCCATCGAGAAGCCCAAAAAAATCCCCCGCACCCGCCCCAAACTCACTCCTGAACTTCTTCTCTCCGACGACGGCCTCGGTTACGTCCTTCGTTATTTCCCTCGCTCCTTCAAATACCACGGTCGCGGCCACGAGGTCATTAATAATCCCATCCTTTTTTAATTTATTGTTTTTTTAAATCTTAATCATAATCATAATCACTCCATTTTATTACCGATTTCTCTATTGAGCTTTCTTTACACGTTTTTGTTGTTAGGTTCGTGATTTGGGTAACCTGATTGAATTGTACTCTGAATGGCACTCTCGTTTGCTCCCTTATTACCCTTTCAATCAATTTGTTCACAAAGTTGAGCAAGTTGCTGCTACAAGGCGCGTCAAGGTACTGTTCCTGTTCGACGCAACTCTATTTCTTCAATGTTGAATTATTCATGAAATATTCATGTTGATATGGTTTCCTTTGTGTCACTTTTGAAGGTATTTTTTATGCAATTTGAAATAATATCTGATTATTGCTAAACTATGAGTGTGCTTCATAATGATTCTTGTAGCTCCTTGGTGATTTTATTTGGGTAATTATTCTAACTGTTTTGATAAGAATGGGCTTTATGTTAAATGTACTATTGATCAAATGATTGGGATAGACCAGAGATTTGTCCATCTGAAGTGATGTTGTGTGTGTGAAAATTCCTCCCCAATAATAGAGCTTAAACTAAGGACTAGGATTTGTGATTCAACTATCTATGCAACACGGACACCAGAAACACGACACTAACATTGACATGTCGACACTAGTAATAATCTGAAAAAATGAATAAACTAAACGTAATCACAAGTGTCAGTTTCAGACACGGATGCTGACACCCGCACATTTTTTCAGAGGTGTTGGTGTGCTACAGAGGCAACTATTCTTATGCTCAGGGATCAACCCTAAGGAGCCACCATTGTATCCACTTTCCATAACTATTTTCCATCTAACATCTTTGGCTAATACTCGATTTTCATTCAATTGATACATATATCATACAAGTATATAAATGATCCATTTCCTTTGCTATTTTTATATGCTTTTATACACACACGTATTGATATGCTTTGCCCTTGTTCTGTATCTCCATCTCTCTGGGCATTCACTTACTTTCTGTTTCTCACCCTATGATTTTATATTTGTTGAGGGGGTTTGTCTTGTTGCATGTCCTTGTTAAACCCTGTATTTGACATTTATTTTATGTCCTCTTACCAGACGAGCCTTAGAGAATTGAGAGAAAGAGTTGCAAATGGCGGGGATCCGTCAAAATTGCACGAACCACCAGGTGTGCAAAACACCCCAGTTACCGAGCAAGGTATTTACTATATATGTATTTGTACTTTGCTATCAAGGTCGTAAACTCAATATGGACTAGTTCCCTTCAAATTCATAGTTGTTTTCTTAGATCTGTGGTTATAACTTATAATCTTATAGAACAATTGTGAAGTTTAAATGTTGAATATTATTTTCACATTCTGTTAGAAATGTTTTTCAACTAAACAAGTTAACGTTGTTAACGAGTACCATTCATTGAATTAACCACTTGTTATCAAGTTGTTCAAAAACATACTTACTAAGAACACTTTCCTCTTAAATTTCCCTTTTCAAGTGTACGAGCATTTTTTAAACGTTAAATTGCTTGAGAGATAGGATCCAACAATTGACAATTTAATCATTGAAGCTCACTTGCCAATTATAGTAGTTATAATGAAAGCAGACATTGATTTTGGCAAATTTCCACATGATTCATACTTCAAACAGAGTGGCCAACGGTTTCACTATAGTCTACTTAAAGAAATAATTAGGTTTTATTTATTTTATTGATGTCTTTAGGTATCTTTGTTAAATCTGCATATTGGGCTTTGCTGTATCTGCAGAAAATGGGGAAGTAACTCATCAAGATAATGAGATGTTTGATGAACCTGAAAATGTTATTGACATTCAAGAAGACATGCTCAATGATATATATGACCAAGCTACTGAAGTGAGTTTATTTTCTTTTAAACATATATAGTTCTTCAATTCTTCTGTTATCACGTAAGAATATCTATTTGTTTATTAAAACACATCTGGATGTTTCCCTTAGCGAAATGAACTCTTTTAATAATTATGCATATCAGTTAGACAGAAAATAGGCAAGTTGTCTTCTAGGATACCATTCTCACAAATTTTTGACTAATCTGAATTGTTTGGGAACTGATTAAATCAGATTTAATTTTTATCCTTATCCAAAAGTGTTGTATTAATAATGCAAGGGTAACATTACTCTCTTCAGACTGTTGTATTCTTTCATTGGAGATTACTTGGAACATCTAGTTACATTATTTTTTTTCTGTCCCCTTAAGTCTCCAGTTTTGTTGTTGTAATTATTCCTTTCTTATGAAGTCTGAATCAGTAGTTGCTGATAGCTAGGTATACATAACTTTTGAGTTAAACCAAATCGGAAACAAGGAGCTGATGCCAAAGTTTGTAACATAGGTATTTTCTCTTTTACTGCAGGAACCTTCTCGGCCCATGCAAAATGTGATTGGTACGAGTACAGATCCCAGAAGCAATGCAATTGAAAAGACATCAAATGAAGCCCCGAATAATGGAGGCAGTCTGTCCAGCAATGCTGAGATAACAGCAGAGCAGCGAGCCCGTATGGAAGCAAATAGGTTGAAGGCAATTGAAAAAAAATCAAATGAAGTCCCAAATAATGGAGCCAGTCTGTCCAACAATACCGACATAACAGCAGAGCAGAGAGCCCGGATGGAAGCAAATAGGTTGAAGGCATTAGAAAGGCGTGCTGCTAGAGCCAGCCTATCACAGGCTTCCTAGCTTTGATATTCATTGTAAATGAAAATACTATCATTATCATTCCCTCACTACTGATATAGTTTACATTGAATCCCGTGATTGGATAGTTGACTTCTGAATTCTGATGGTCTGGAAGATATGACCGTTTTATATGATGCATTATGATCCTGAAGATTGCTGTGTCACAAAAGTAAGTGGGTTGTGAGATTCATTTTTTCATTTTAAAGATGACTTATTCAGTCACTTGTTTGAACACTTTTATCCCTATATAGAAGGCGTGATAATTTATGTGTCAACCAATTGGAATTCAAAGAAAACTGAGGCAACCAACAAGTCTACTACACTGCACATACCAAAACCAAATAGGTCATGAACTTATTTGATGGGATTAACTCTAGGACAACAAAAACATAGGTTATCTTTATAAAAAAAACATGGATTATTTATTACAGTAACAGGGATGCATTGCTTTGTGCTCACTGTGTCTGTTGAAACATGTTTTGAACTTCATGTAGTTATTTTGTTCCTTAGGATTATCCTGATTGGTAGCCCATGTTTGGGCACAGGGAAAGAACCATACTGTATGTGAGTGACAAAATATGCTGGCTTCATCTTGTACAGCTTCTCTGAATGTGAACGACAGAATGTTTGCACTTCTCATAGTTTCTTGGATATGCTGCACATCTATTTTATCTTATATTATTTCACTCCATCACAAACATTTCTACACCATTCATTTAGTTAATTAAAGCATGATAAAAATATTGATATATATTTTTTAAAACAATAAAGAAAAATGAACAAGTTGTTTATTAGTTGACATATTTTTAGTTTCATTAAATACATCTCTCTAATTTTAAATCCTGCAAAAAGAATAATAAATTGTTTACTCGGTCTCAAAAGATTGCATGTTATATGCACAATCAAATACATACTGAAAAAATCTTTTAAAGTGTAAAATAAGACATTACAAATCTTCAACAAACAAATAAATTAATTGTTGATATTATGCGTGAATATGTTGGATCTTATATAGGGTAGGGTAGGGTAGGGGAGGGGAGTTAAATCATTAAATTTAAGTTGGGTGGGAGTGATGTAAATGTACAATTTAAGTTGAAGATAATTTTTATCAAATTGAAATTTTTGTATCGAATTGAAGTAAGACCTGCCATTTTGTATGGAACAGAATGTTCGGCGATTAAAAATCAACACGAGAATAAAGTGCAGCGGACATGAGGATGTTGCGGTAGATGTGTAGTAAAATCTGATATGATAGAATTAAAAATGAAAATATTAGAAAGAGTGTCATGTAACGTCTATAGTGGAGAAGATATAAAAAATAAATTTAGGTGATTTTACTGATAGAATTTGTAGTAAGGAAAATAAATTATATAAAGAGAAGACAAACAATTAAAAAAATAAAAAAACTTAAAACAACTATCAGAAAAGTTATTAAAAAAATATTTAAATTAATGATTTAGATAAAAATATGTGATTAATACCGCAAAAATTTATTTCCCTTAGTCGATTCTACTTATCTTATAAAACTTAGTTGTTGATGATTACCCTAAAACTAAAACTTAGTTGTTGATGATTATGTGTAAATGCATAAAGACAACCAAATGTAAATTTGTCTTTAATTTTGTTGCTAAGTATTATAGACGTTAAACTTCTTTCCATATTTTATTTTCTTTTATTACCTTTAATTTCTAAAGTTATTTTAACTTTAAAAAAAATAGTGAATCAATTATTAAGTGCAAATGCCCTCTAAAGCTTCACCACTTCAATTTCAAGATCAGCTGGTTTAATATCCTTTACTAATTAATGGTTGAATCTTGGCATATATATTCCACTTTTAAAAGAGAAAGAACTAGAATCTTAATTAGGAGCCAAATGAGGAAACTCATTGATAAAATTATCAAAATTCCAAGAATTATTAAAAAATGAAGCTCATTAGATATATGATGGAGGTAGTCAAGAAAAATTGATTCAGTTGTAAAAAAAAATTCATATACAAGGAAAATCGTAAGTTCACTTTGATAAGAAATTAACTCATGTCGAAAAATTGTAAATTCAACTCTCACTTGAGGCATACTCAATTTATGGCGAGTCTGAAGTCTCTAGAATCCGACTAAAATTTATCTGTTTGAGGCATACTCAGATGAAATATTAGTAAGAGTGTTACACAAGTACAATGTAATTAAAATTAATAAGGTACAAAAAAAACTATCATAAATAGACAATTATTTGTTATATTTGTCTTGTCTTCCATAAACTAGGTTAAGTTAACTTGAAATTGAGGTAAACCAAACAAATTGTCCTCCGTTCTACTCATGAATTCTCTCCAAATCACTGAAGTATTTAATATAGACAATATCGACATAGGTCACACTTTTGTCCACAAATATGCACATGCCAACCAAAGCCATGAAGTATGACCTAAACGCACATGCGTTATGATTGAATATAGTGGAGTAGAACTTGAGAGATGTGTTAAGCTTGAATGCAATATAGTAGAAGTTGTGAGAAAACTAGAAAAATGTTTGAACAAGAGTATCCTCACGAGTTGTTTGCTCTGTTTTGTTAACTTTGTTGAAACGAAAAAGGGAAGAAAGAAGGAAAGGTTTAGGCGAGAATACTTAAATAAAAGCGTATGAATTTCAATCTCAATAGGAATTTCATACATTGAAATCTGATATATTTTTAAATGTGTATTTGTGTGGTTATGAGATTGAGAATAAATGTGGTGTGTTGAGGCGCATCCTGAGTTCAATCTCTGTGACTTACTAATCCATATTTTTTAATACTTGCATTGGCGTGCTTCACAGAGAGCTTGTTGTGTATTTAGTGTGTTCGAACTTTAAAATCCGAATTCTAGAAATATTTTTGAAATTTTACCGAGGTGTGTGAGTAAGACATATACTATAATGAACAATCTCCAAAATAATTGGATGATAACATATACTAATTGGGCCTTGGCCCAACATACGTTCGTACGACTTTACATACATTTATGTTAGGGAAACAGTCATCCCATCTCGTGGGGTGCACTCCACACATTTGAAAACCCAAAAATACCCTCATTGACGTTTGAAGATGCATCTTCAAACGTACATAAATCCACATCAACCCTTGTAATTTAGCCACATACCCCATTTTTGCCAAAATCTTGTATGGAAATGCATATCCGTAAATTTTCTGAGGTGAATCGAGAGATGCATCTCCGTAACCCCCCCCCCCCCCCCCCTCCTCTGAAATCATTTAAGTTATTGGAAGCGTGTTTATTACACATCACAAGGGATATTTCGAAGATGAATCTCCTAAAGTCCCTCTGAATGCTTTCTAGCCAGCAATGTTATCCTAACTTTGACATTTTTTGAGGCTAACTTATATTTTGGGTCATTTTAGGCCAACTTTTATCATAAAACCATTTAAGAGTATCATAATTTAATGCAAACATACCATACATATATTAAAAAAAACTCAAACATTGATTTAATAAATTCAAAATGTACCGACCACCATACACAATTTTTTTCAAAAATACAAAAAAAAATAGAAACAAACATAAACTGCGGGGTATGTTTAAAACCCTAATTTCTCCTTTGTTGCCTGTTCTGCAAGGAATTTAGTGCCTCAACAATAATGACTTGTACAAGGTCCAACTCGGGATTGCCTTTCTAAAAAAATCCAGCCTTTATGCCAGGTCTCACCATATCCACAATACGCTGACAGGATCTCTTGATGAGATGACCTAGGTGGTTCTCTAGCTGTGTATGGTGTCATGATAGGATGTGACATCCTATAGAATTGTGTGATGTAGTTGTCTGCATAATCCCATTGTATAGGAGCTGACACCTTGCGATAGTCCTCTGGTATCAGATAACTTCTATTGAGATCCTCAAGTATGACATCAAGGTCTCTCTGTCGGATGGTGAGAGGAGCATACTTTGAGAGGTGTCTTAGAATAACCTACAAATACCCAAAATGGCGCATCACTCACTCGGGCAAATGCACATACATTAGACCTGACCCACAAGTCTGTTAGAACAAGATTTGTTCATTCCCTTAAAAGGTTTTGATGATAACAAAGTATTTAAAGAATAATAGAGTTTACTAATGGTTACTCGAGTGTGAAGGATCAAAAGACATTGACCTTGATATGAATCAAGTTAATCACTTAGAAAAACCATTAAAGAGAACAAAACTGTTATGAATCTGAATGATCAGAACCAAGATTTCATACTCTGATAGAGTCAACTCAAGTCTTTCAGATGCTGAACCTAGCTTAATTGGAAATACAACGATCAACGAAGCTTTGAAGACTATAACCTTTTGAAGCAAGCAAACTCTGTTATAAGAAATGACTCGACATCTTTTGAACAACCTGCATCAGCAATTTTGAAGACACTGCTTCAAAGAAATTTGTCTACATTAAGCCTACAACTCTGTACTAGTTCTGATCAAGACTCCGATGAAGGCAAGACACAGAACCTGTAAACTCTAGACTCTATTGTTTCATTCCAACCAGGTTCTGAAGACATGCTTTAGCTTCTGATCATGATTTAACTAATTCTATAAAAAACCTCTGATTCAAGAAGGCTAGGTATAAAGATAACAACTACTCTGAGCAAGCTTCAACAAATGTCTATAAGAAGACTCTAGTCAGAAGTTATCCAAGGAAGATCACATGACAATGGTACATTACTTTATATCAAATATGGTGATATTGACATTATCAGGATCTTCTCTCTTCAACTGTTCATAACTCTGCTTTGCTACTCTCAACGTCTTTATGCTAGCTGAGTTTTTAGCTCACTCTATTGTCCATCAGCTAAAGACCTTCAACGACTATCTGTACCATGCTAGATTTCAACTAGTATTTATACCATGGTAGCTTCAATCTTCAACAAATTTATTTTTAGTATATATTTAAAGAAGAAGATTAAAAACATTCAAAAAAGATTATGAACCGGAAAATGTTCTGAATTGAAAAGGTTCCTAACCGTGAAGGTTCTTAGAACATTTCTCTGAGCTGAACCTCTACCTCTTATGAGAATGAATGTGAGTTGAAGATTTTGTGACTGTATTCACATGGATGTGCTACCAATTCACTGAAATGAGTTGAGATAAATACACTTCAAAATAATATATAACCAAAAAGGTTAAGTGTGTGAGAGCAGAGTGAAACATGTTCACATACATTCTAAAGATAGAATATGTGAATATGTTCATTAGAACAGGAAGACACAATAAGATAGAAATATGTGCGAGGAAAGAAGAATAATGAAAACTTCATTCTTCCACACTCAGGAGCAATCAACTCAAATATGCTCAAGAGTATAAACCTTTGTGTATTTGCTTATCCAAGAAGCACTTATATGAACACAAGGTTAATACCAGATTTCTCTATTATGAGAATCTGAAGAATCTAGACTTTGTCCTTAGAGTAAAGTCTTTTTTTTTTATGATTGAGTAAAAAGTTCTGAACTGGATGTTTAGGCATTGAAGTCTCATACTTGCGGGCAGAGCAATGAAGTATCGATCAATGTGATTTAGTAGAAAGTCTCATGCTTGAGGGTTTGAGCAGAAAGTCCTGAATGGGTAGTTTAGGCAAGGAAGTCTCGATCTGAGTGATTTAGCAGAAAGTCTTGAACGGAGAGTTTGGGCAAGGAAGTCTCATTCTTGTAGGCTTGAGCAGAAGTCTCTTTTCGTGAAATTTAGCAAGATGTCTTGAGCTGCTGATTTAAACAATTGTAATCAGTCTGATTATAGTTAATCGTTCTTGTGCTGAAAAGGGACTGGACTACTCTCAGTTGAGAGGAACCAAAATATATTGTGTGTCTATTTATTTACTTCTGCATTTATATTCTTCTGTGCGAACATACTCTGAAGTCAGACTCTGATTTGATTCAGTCTCTTACCTGCATCAAAATCTGAGCTTGACACCTCTTGTTTTGAAGCAGAGTTAAGAAAAGGAAGTAAATTTTTCACTGTTGTTACTCACCCTGATATCAGACTCTGAACATGATTCATATCTGATGGTTCAGAAATAGTAGTAGAAAAGAGTTTCAAAATCTAGAAATACACAATTCAATCCCCCTTCTTGTGTATTTTTCTCACATTCAAAGTCATCCATCAAGATTACAAGAAAATGACATCCAGCTGACGCGTCTGACGGTGATCATTGTATGGGTAGAAGGCAATGTCATATTCTATATGACAGTTAAGATACACTTGAAATGACTCGATCACCTGATTTCCTCTGAGCGTGGAATATAGGCAAGCACATGGCCAATCCTCGGTATAACTTTCCTCAATTTGATAGTCGAATATGCGATAAAAATCGGAGAGGATCCATTAATGAAAATGATTCAAATAAAATATCAGTAACAAGTGTAACAAAAGAGTTATGAAAATATTAGTAAGACCGTAAGTAGCATGCAACTTCCTATCAATTGTTTTGCCATCCAAAGACAAGCTTCGTCCAACTTCGAGTATAGGTAGACCAAACAGAAAGCCCTCCCGTTGTACTTGTGAATCCCCATTAAGTCGATGAAGTATTTAAGGCAGACCACATCAACGTAGGTTGCACTTTTTTCCACAAACATGGACATGCTAACTAGGAATAAGAGGTAACACTTCAATGCATACTACTAGTGGTACTCAACCTGCATATCATCATCGTTGACATCCACAACTATCTGTATTCTTTAGAAATTATTTTTCGCACGCCCATATTTTTCAAGGGACTTTATGTTTTTTTAAATGTGAAAAGAACATTATCTTTCAACAACTTGAGAGGATAATGGGTGCGCTAGAATGAGGCCAGATGAACTACAGAGAGCAAAGGATGCGTCCAAAGACAACAACCAAAAACACTTTTTTAACTTTTACGAATTAAGATCAAATGAACAAAAAATAAAATAATAGGTGCATTTGGAAGATAACTTCCGCCAAAGGCATTTTTGGAGTTTAATAGAATTCGTAAGAAATTTATAGGGTGAAATGAAAATCCGCCTAAGCATATCTAAAATAAGTAATGACTTTTACTTTTAACATATGCAAACCAATTTATTCTCAACACATCTACCAAATATCACCTTGATTTTTTTTATAAAAAATTTTAATTATAGTCACACTGTGTAGCATTTAAGAGCCAAAATCAAGCCTTAAAAATTGGATCATACCATGCTCATCCATCACAAAAAAAGACATGACCTCATTCTTACAACTTTGAGATAATGTGCAAATAATGGAAAACAAAAAAATTACTTCATTAAGCCACCGCAATTTAATCGCTTCATTGGCTAATTTCACCTTTCTATGATCTCTTCTTCATCAACTGGAGTATACCATTCAGGCATCCGCTTCGTGTTGCTCAGCCTGTAGTTCAGGAGAAGTTCTTCATCTTGAAGAGCTCTAGTTGCTACCAAAACAACAGTTTTCAGAGTAGTAGGAACATGTGATTCAGTATTTCTTGAAACTCTAGATTTGAACCAAGAACTTCCAAATCTCTCCACATTTACTTCTGTTGCATTTCCAAATAATATATTAGGAATGTAGGCTCTCATGTCATTTTCAATCAATGGAAAGTCATAAGGGCAAATTGTGACATTTGGAAGCATCCCTTTTGAAGGGTGATTAGCAAAATGTGCCAAGGCTAGTGGATTCCTACGCTCGAGTACATCATCGCTATTATCTACTTGAGACCCTTTCTCGTCTACCATTTTCCTAGCATTCCACAGTTCTTTCCTGTCACCTCCACGACCCCAAGGTTGGGCGTCAATGACAGTCCCATCATGTCTTGTAATCAAATAGGGGTTCTGATCATCAAGATATCCAGGAATATGATGATAATAAGCCGGAGAATATACTACCCCGGGATAAAAGGCTATCACAGCACCAACATCTGCTACACCATCTAGAAATAGACCTTTGCCAGCGTCCTTGTGCGATATTTGAGAAGGTTTGACATTGAGCATGTAGCCAAGTTCGTCCTTTAATTTCTGCGAAAGCTCGGCTTGATTTATCGGTCTTTGTTTCGGGAAACCTGTGCAACACCTCATCAGTAGATGAATAGAGTAAATAGGCAATAGTTATAATTTTGACAACAACATTTCATAATCGCTGTAGAATATGTTTTTTTTGTCGGTTCCCATGAGAAGGGACTCTGGTAATCCGAAGTTCGGCGGAGTGATAAGTAAAGTCTGACCAAGAATTGTGAAAACCGATATTTGAACTTGGGTTCTCCCAAAAGATTCAATCTTTAGCTAAAACTCATTAACCACTCAAGCCTAATCACTTAGTTAAAGATATAGGAATATTGTGAGATCACCAAGTAATGAGCAAAAATATTTCCAAAGGACAAGTAAACAAAGGAAAAATTAAAGCAAAAAAATTCACCAAGATTGTTAGTTGGTGGGTCACACACTTACCATTGGCAGAACTAATCTCATTATTTCGAGGTAAAACGTTTGTTTGTTGAGATAGTAACTCGAAGTAGTCGTCATTCACTGTCTTTTCATTTGGAAGAAGAACTTCATCCATTAACGTGCAAAATGTTTTAATTTGAGCATGAACATTTTCTTGTACTAGCATTTGTTGATCGGCAACAGAGGCTTTACTAGCCATTTCAATAATCTCTTCTGCATCTGTTTCACTAGCATTCTTCCCCAATCGATTGTAGCTGGAGATTCAAGTCTTTACATGAGCAAAACATGTTAAGATGTTGAATAGAAAAGAATAAAAAAATCAACAAGATTGAAGAAAAATGTGACATTAAATTTTATAACCCTACAACATCGAATAGAAAACATCTCATTTGTGAAAGCTTAACGTGAAGAGCTGACCAGAGTCAACCTTCATCGTCATCAACCTCAAAAGACAATCCGAGTTGATCATTATTATATTTTTTAACATCCGAATGGACTCCATTGTGTACAAGCTTGAGCTACTTGCAGACAATAGAAAACAGGATGTGTTTAATGCACCTTTCCTCAAAGAGTATGAAGGATCCCAACCATCTGCTGTAGGAGAATTACCAAATTTATCACACATACGTGACAACGGTAAAGCCTTAAACACTCCTCATGCTATTCTTTGCAGTAGAACCAATCTCGGGAAACAGGGGCTGTAAGTGAACTGAGCTGGATAACCTCAAGAAGATGCCATTTGGAAACCGGTATACCACTTCCAAGAAGTTTATCCAGGGTTTGAAGACAAGCTCAAAGCCGAGAAGATAGTGGTGATGTGGATGCTTTTGTAGGTGGCAATAATAGAGAAAGAAAGCGGCAACCTAATCAGATTTTGTTTTGTTTCTTAATTGTTTTATCATATTTTGTTTACTTTAGTGGTTACATTATAATCAGCATAAGCCTATCATTCAGGATCTCTTTCTAATATTATTAACAGTCTTTAGAAAAGCTGTATTAAATAAACAGAACGAAACAAGTATTCTCGCACTCGTAGTATCCATAGAAGGGTTACTATCTAGGACAAGTCTATTTCCCTACATTAACTATAGTTCACAAGAAGGATCCTTTCGGGTCTAGAATTGCGACTAGGTCCTATGCAACGGTTCATAACACATTCATTTTAAAGAAAGCAAATCACTCTCTCTCAGCCACAATAATAAATGTCACACTTACAAGGAAAAGAGTTCCAAAATAAGTTCCATTTTATTTTTTCAATGTAACATTAAGTATTTTATTATGATTGTGCCTTCAAATTAATATATTGCGTGTCACTTTCAAGTCATTATAATAATAATGAATACATCAATATGGTTTATGAGGATAACTTGATAATGTTGTTCTCTATTTTTCATTTACAACTTAATTTGTGTGTATTAACATAGTATGATACTTATAATTGAACAGAAGAGTAGTAGAGTTTCGCCTTGGCAGACAATCCCACTGGTTTCCTACGGTTGAAACTCGAAAGTAACTTCATTGTAATTCTCTCAGTATATGGCAATAGGTTGCAGTTTTTTATTTGGAAGAAGGTCATTTAAGCTTCAAGGGATTGCCAAACAGCTAACTCAATGAAAGGCTGCATAGCTTGATTTGGCAGCTCAGTTTAGAGATGCTGGTTATCAGAGCTGTCAAATATCGACTATGGTGGCACATGGGGATTGAGGGGAAGAATTTTTTGACAACCGCCAGGGCCAATTTGTGAAGGATGGTGGGGCCATGGCATTGAATGGTAGATATGACCAGCTTAAAGTGATGGATTTTTGGCTTTTCGCCACAGTCCATAGGACGAACCGCTATGAAGGCAGAGTTTCCAACCATCCGCAATCCTCCATCAATAACACTGCTGGTTATTAAAGTTTCTGTGGCGAACATTTATATTTACTAATTTACAAATGCCCATTTGGAAAACATATATAATCATCTACTGGCAATTGGCATCTCCGTACAAGGCATCATTGCTGAAGAAATCTCCACTCACTGCTGACTATGTTTGAGCGACTATGTTTGAGCCATATAAACCATTTGTAATATAATCAAGCTGATATGAACTGAATGCCAACTGCCAAGAGACCCATTTGACGGGCCTGAGACACTTGAGTTTTAAACATAAGTAGGTGGTGTAAACAGGCATTTTGTTTGCAACCATTGTCGGTACTCCCTCCATTCCAAAACTTTAGTTGTTTAAGGTATTTGCATATAGATTAAGGAATCATATAATTGATGTGTATATGTAAGTATCAAAATGTCCCTATCGTACTAGTTAAATGTTTCACAAATACCATATCGCATTATAAATTTATAAATAATATTGTAAAAGCAATGATGTAAACAACATTTAGGAGTATATTTGGAAGAAAATTGTCAAATATATCTTGGGTTTCTAAAACACCCAAAATTTTGAAACAAAATACTTAAACAACTAGAGTTTTGGCACAGAGGGAGTAATAATTAGCAATATATAACTAGTATTAGTAATATGTCACGGGCTCTTTCTATCTCACCCAAGATAGCCGAAAACACAAAAAAGAGAAGCAAGTTTAATGCACCCTTGAATTTTAAATGCAGACAACAACAAAAAAACACTTACCTTGTATAGAGGAACAAACGATTAAGATTGACTTCAAACTGTAGTTGTCTAGGATCCCTAGCAAAAGCAAAAGTGGGACTTTTTGCAAGGGTTTTCACAGCCTGAAAACAAGTTAAAACCAAGACTTTTGTAATAAGCTTCACAGAATGCACAACAGGTAAAAACTAAGCTTTAAATTAGCGTAAAACCATGGAGAATCTGTAAAAGTAAAACATCATTTTCATCCAATACAAATATTCTACTAATAAAACTGTCATCGTTCCTCCGTCTTATGTATTTTAAATAAATGAACAATGATAACTTAAACACATCTTGCTATAATCACAGCAAATAAGTAACTACTTTTCAAGTAAAGCATAAGATAAGAAGATACCTCTTGAAATTTCTGAAACAAAAAAGCCATCTGATTTGAGGAATACGAAAAACTTTGAATGCTGGAAATGTTCTGCCAGATAAAAGGGAGGCTCAAAATCAGTTATCGCTTTGAAACCTCATTCAGGAAAAAAAAAACATATACACTTTTCAAAACACATAGAACCGTTGAACCTGGTAATAAACCCTAAACTATTCAGCAAGAACAATAACAACGTTAGAACTTGGGTGGGGGTGTATTAACGATTCAGATGTGAAAAGAGTAAAAGAGGGAACCTTTGAAAGCCAAGAGCTCAGGGAATCATCACCACCATCGCCGATCACCACCCTTGACGGCAAAGCTGATGTTGTTTTTTTCGGACAAAAACATACGTTTGGGCTGAAACATTTTTTCTGGTACACCAAAAAATAGGATTTTCTTTTACTAATACACCTTCCTTATTGTTTCTTTATACTTTTTCTTTCAAAAGTACACCCCCTATCTCCATTATTACTTGTGCTATAGTTTTTTAATAAATAAATATGTTTTGAAAATTAAAATACATAAGCCATTTCTTTATATGATAGGTGTATACTTGTGTTGTGAAAACCAAGTTCTGATTTTATTTTTACTTTAAAATAAATTGATTTCTCTTCTAAAAAAAATTAGATATCTTCATAAAAATCGATATTGTTAAATTGAATGTTATTTTTAAAATTTAAATAATGATACTCATATTTGTGAGTAAGTTTCTAGTAGTTATTATTGTTTAAAAATAATTAACTTCTAATATTTTTGGTAAAATGATTTTCAAATTTTTATCGCCTCTTTTAAAGTATTGATTTTTAAATTCATAAAGTCTAGTTCAATTTATAAATATTGATCTGATTAGATTAAATTTTCTCTCGTATTTGAATCGAGAGTCCTACACTTATTTTATTAAATCAGGTTGGTTGATAAAGAAAATATCACTTGTATTTTTTATTTTATTGTTTATTATTTTGCTAGCAAATGCTTAAACACACTTACATCCATCATATTTATTTTGATTATTTTATTGAACCTACTCTTTTTTTCCTTTCATATTTTTTAATCATTTAAATAATTCAATTTTTTTTGAAATATACATACAATCTATAAAAAAAATCATAATAAATTTTAAGTTTATATTTGCAATAATAAATAATAATGTGTAGTTGAAACAAAACAATTTAAATATATCAAAATATATTTAAAAGATATATTTGAAATAACTTTCAATTGTAGTAATTTTTATATTTAAAATATTCTCATATATATTCTATCATGTCTTGTTGAATGTGTTAATGAATCTTTTTATTTTAAATCTCAAATTTTCTACCTAAGAACTCTTGAAAATTAATATTATAATCAATTAGTAGTGTTGTCGAATTGTCACTATATGTGACACATTGATCTTCAATAGTCATCTTATGCAAGTGGCAAGATTGAGTCCAGTTATGTATGACTGCAAATTAAGATCGAAGAACTCTAAATGTTAGTTCTATATCCGTTATTACACCTTCTTAACGTTAGACAAACAAATTTCTCATGTTATCTTGTGGAATTGAAAAGATGTTTAACAAATGTGTTTTCTTCACGATAAATGAGATTTAATAGATAATAGTTTAAATTGTATTAGGTATGCTTAATTGTATAATAGACCTCGAGAGCTCGCTCTTGTAGAACATCATTAAACACATTAGATTGATTTAGCACATTGATATCATTGCTTAAACTCGTTACTCCAAAGAATGCATGTCAACTTCATAAGTTATGTGAAGGCGTTGCTTCAAGCATAATAATAGGTTTATTATGACCGTCTCAAACATATTACCCTTTTAATACAAGGGGATAATTTTTCCATTCCAAATGCATATATAAGCAATGCATCATAATATTTCAGGAAAACCACATGCCTCATTCATCTGCAATAGGCATTCAATGTCTTGAATGATTGACCTTCTCAGATATTATGCCTCAAATACGACAACTGCATCCATTGTAAACTCATCATTGCATTTAGTCATGTGGATTCAACAATTATAAAATAGTCGTCCACATTATCATATGATAGTTTGTATGTCATATGAATAACGACAACGTATTTTGTAGCATGAAAATAATTGATTTATCTGTTGCACCAACCCTTAACTAAAAATATTCATTGTGATAACCAATCATTGTTTTCAAACTCACAAGTAAGCTCGTAAACTTGGACGAGTTTAGAAGTCTAGGCGGCCAAAATGAATTGACTCATATTTAAAATCTTTTCATAATATACTCTATTAGACTTTGCAACACTCTAACAAACTCGCTTAGACTCATTCATACTTGTGAGTCAAAGGCAAGTTAAATGTAATTTTAAGAAGAAGCCTAAAACAAATTGAAGCTCATTATTTCACTAAAATATATATTAAAAGAAAGTTAGTAGGCCCCATATGTGTTGTGTTCTTATTTTTATATTGTTATTTTTTATGTGTTCTTTTTCCCCTACTTTGCTTACTTTATTATGGAGTTTGAAGTTAATTTTTTTATTTTTGTTGATGTTAATTAGTATGTGTGAGTGTGTGTGCGTGTGCACGCATGTGCGTGTGTCTTTTTTATGGCTTTTTAAGCCATTTTTATACATTTTTATGAGTTCAAGGGCCTATTCTAGAGACCTATTTATGAGTTTGACAACCTTGGGACCCAAAGATTCAACAATAACAAATAACACATGTTTATGCATTTAACACCTTTGACAAAACTTTTCTTTTGTGTATATCTGTGTTATTGGTGAAATTTTAGTTGTGTGATAGGAGATTGAGATTCAATGAAAAATTCAATATTCTTGAAGAAACATGTGAAAATCTTTAATGACATGGAAAAAATCAAAATAATGGATAACTTGTAGAACACAATTGTATGAAATGAGGAACTTTAGAGTGTGTTATATTCGCATAAGTAATAGAGATAATAACTCTTTCAGGTACATATTACATGTTGACAAACATTTAATGGAGTATTAATTGATGTTTGACAAGAACAAATTCAACAAGATATTTGTGGAAATAGAGAAATTTTTGGAGTGTGTGTTAATTTCATACACATAGTCTAATTCAAATATATATTTAAAGCCAATTATTAAATAAAAAACCGATTATAAAATCTAGTTATGGTTATAATCGATTAATAGTCGATTTAAAAAAAATGATTATGACAATTGGTTTTAAAATCTGATTATAACACATAGATAATAAATGAATATAGATTAGTTATGGAAATAAATCGTCCATGAGCATCCCTACCTATAATGTACTTCTTGTAGTGATGAAAAATATTTCTAGTTATATTGCTAGTTGTAATTTACAAGTTTTTTTCATACTTCATGCTATTTGCCTACTAGTGGTGAAAAATATCTCTCCACACTTGTGTTCGGTTGTGAGTTATTTTAATATACTCGAGTAATTTAAATTTTTTATCTTATTGATAATAATATCTATTTCTTATATATGCAAGTGTAGTAGGCATGATTCTGAAGGTAGAAATCCAATTAATGAAAATTAATTATCCAAAAAGAGAATAAGTGAGAAAAACATGTTAAATATATTTTCCATGATTTTTAACTATAAGCATACACTACTACAAAAAAGTTTTTTAATAGCGCTTTTTTTGCTTTTTAATAGCGCTTTAAAGCGTTATTAATCAAGGCGCTATTGTAAAACAAAATTTTTAATAGCGCTTTAAAAGCGCTATTATAGTTCTGGTAATTAATAGCGCTTTTTCAAAAGCGCTATTATAGGACCTGTCTTTAATAGCGCTTTTACAAAACCGCTATTATAAGTCACATATTTGATAGCGCTTTCAAAAAAAGCGCTATTATAACACAGGTAATTTGCTTTAATTTTGATAGCGCTTTCAAACAAAGCGCTATTATAGTACACATATTTAATAACGCTTTCCAATAAAGCGCTATTATAAGACACATATTTAATAGCACTTTCAAACAAAGCGCTATTATAATCCACATATTCGATAGCACTTCCAAACAAAGCGCTATTGAAATACCGGTAAATTACTTTAATTTTGATAGCACTTTCTAACAAAGCGCTATTATAGCACACTCTCTTCAAAACCCTATTCTAATACACTTTTTTTTACACCAAATTATACATACATACATATATATATATATATATATATATATATATATATATATATATATATATATATATATATATATATATATATATATATATATATATATATATATATATATATATATATATATATATATATATATATATATATATATATATATATATATATATATATATATATATATATATATATATATATATATATATATATATATATATATATATATATATATATATATATATATATATATATATATATATATATATATATATATATATATATATATATATATATATATATATATATATATATATATATATATATATATATATATATATGGCATTTGCATTTTACGACATTAGAATTCATAAAATAATTACAACTAAGTAGCTAAAATACTTGAAATTAAAATAATAATGACAAATGTGATACCATTAATTTGGCTTAAGAGTACTTCAATCCAAAATATTTTATAAACACAACTAAAGTATAACCTAGAGACACCAATCCAGAGGCACCATATCAACCTCATAAGAATTACAGCCATCATGATGCTTATAATAATGTTTTGAAAGCTAATTATAATTTTCATGATGCTTATATTTTGAATCAAATGTTTAAACCAAACACAACTTAAAATGAAGGGTGACTAAAATCATAACTCAGTTTTACAAAACAAAGTTTACATACGATGCTTGGCCATTAAAGCAGAGGGATGATTCTGTTGGACGAACGTTGCTCCTTCCTCCTACCTCTAGCTGCCATGTGCAGACGGTTCCATCTAATACAGCACTGTCAAAACGATGCCCGAAGTGGTAAAATTATAAAGCTGAAATTGACGCAAGAGCATATGGTGGAGGGACATTAGCAGCAGGCAACACCCCGTATGT